GAACTCGCCGCATCGACTGACGCGGACTCCAGGTGGCGCCACGGAGTAGTGGATTGACGGCATTGCCGGCGGCGGTTGAGGCGACCCTCCACACGGAGCGCGAGATTAATCAAACTGTCCAGCTCTCGAGGAAGGTCCACCGCCGCTAATTCGTCAGCGATTACCTCATCCAGTCCCTCGAGAAATCGCGCGTGGAGCCCCCCCTCATCCCAGCCGCAAGCCGCAGCTAGAGTCTGAAACTGTATGGCATAGTCGGTGACTGAGCATCTCCTCTGCGACAACCGAGACAGCTGAGCCGCCGCCTCATCTCCCTGGGCAGACCGGTCGAACAGCTTCGCCATCTCCTGGCTAAAATCCACAAAAGTAGCACAGCAGGGAGCCCGCGATCTCCATATAGCGATTCCCATTCGCGGGCGCGACCCGAGAGGAGAGTGAGGACGTATGCCACCTTAGCCTCCTCTGTGGCGTAACGTCGAGGCTACAGTGAGAACACCAGCGAGCACTGGGAGAGAAAGGCTGGACAGGCATTCAGATCGCCATCATACACCGGGGGATTGTTGGCATGAGGCTCGGGGTCCAACGGAAAACCAGCGCGGAAGGCGGGACCCCGGTTAGCCGCCTCCCGCTGAAGATCATCGACGCGCGTGAGAAGCTCCGCGACTCGGGCATTTAGTGCGCCCACCTCTTGCGCTGTGGTGTTGAGCTGGGTGGCGTGCTGCCCCAGCAAAACTCCCTGTTGCACGAGAGCAGACCGAAGCGGATCCGATCCTGCTGAATCCATCTTGGGCAGTTTGTTCTGTTAGGGTACAACGAGGCTGGATTCAGGTGCGGGTTCAACAGGTGCTTTATTGTGCAGAGATTATCACCGCGGGCAGTAAGCGCCTTCGCAGACAGTTCGTGTGGTCGTGGAAACCCCAACCACACCGATGGGGGGAGAGCAGTGGCTGGAACAAGCCGCAACAGCGGCAGAGGAGACGGAGCCGGAGGGGCAGCCCGCTAATCCGAGCGAGAGGCTGAGAAGCCCAACAACGAGACCGCGGAGTCCCAGGTTAGGTGGATGCCGGAGGTAGCCCACGGTTCCTGAACGCACAGAGAGGTGCGGGACACCGGGACACATTGCTACGAGCACTGGAGCCTGGACGAGACAAGACAGAACTGGTGAGCGATCATACACGGACAGTCAGAGCGTCAGAGCAATCACAACAAACTGACAACATACAGAGAAACACGAGGAGCTATAAGGGGAAGCTAATGAGATGACCAGAACCAGGTGTGAAACAAGGAGGGCGGGGACAACGATCATGCTGACATGCTCACGTGGCGAGCTGTCAAAACAAGTCATGCACAACACCCAAACACAGAGACAACAAGAGACAGGTGATCAGACCCGAGACCCGACATGAAACAGTGACAAACTTTCAAGGTGAAAACTTTCTTAAAAGTTATGCATTCTGAAAAACTCAAGTACCATATAACATAACTCTTTCTTTCTCTCTCTTTCTCTCTCTCTCTCTACAGTGGAACCACTGTGCAAAACTAGGTCACATGTCCTTTGTGGTTGTTTTTGGAGAAAAAATTTAGCATAACTGTAAGCTTCTAGTCTGACTTGGGTGCAAAACAAGACTTGTGGTTGGGGGGGGGCGGCTCAGCCCGCTTCTCATTCCACCTCAAGTGCATATGACTATAAAAATGAAAGCAAAGCTGTTCTTTTCCACATCACAGATTATATCTGACTTCTAGCTTGTTTTGCCATCTTCATCAAACCCACAGACCTGATGCGTCCATACTCATGCAAAAAACATACTCATATGAATATTGTTCTTCATTATTACAAATATTTTTCTGGTCGACTAGTAGTCGTTCATTTTAAGCATTAGTCGACTAATCGCATGTTTATTAATAAACCATTTAAATCATTATAATGAGCCTTTAATTGCCTACATAGCCTAATAAGTGCTCAAGCACACCCATAAAGCTTGCCACAGCGCACCGCAGAAGCTATGATTATGAATGTGTCAGGGAAAACAGTAAGGAGGCTGCATTAACATTTTAATAATTTGATAAACTCTTATATGATAACCAAGGACTCTGCTCACTTCAATAATTAAGAACTTTTGTTTACCAGCATCATCATATTTTGTCTTTTTTCAGTTATGCTCTGCTCTCAAGGCCTATGGAGTTCCCTGGGCATCCCCCATTTCCTCTCATCCTATGTGGGATTGAATCGCATCGCCCTCTGGTCAGCCATCTGTTTCTGTAATATACAGTAAACTTAATGATCACACTGCAAAGCCTCTTTCTATTAAACCTATATGGAATCGTGAATTAACAGATTTTGATTTATCGGTCGACTGGGAGAGGGTGTGGTCTAATCTAATCTTAACTTCTAAAAACTTGGCTCATCATCTTATCCATTTCAAAGTCATCCATAGAGCATACATAACTCCTTACAAGAGGTTTAAAATGAAACTGCAATTGACCTATAACTGCCATATCTGTAAAACCTTATCAACAGGTACTTTTCTCCACATGTTTTGGGAAT